GTCAATTTTAGAACCATATTTCATTTTAGAAATCTGTTGTACTGACAATATGTTTTATGTGCTTGTGTGCATATGTGTAACAAAATCTGTACGTTTTCATTTTGTGCACCTGTGAACTGTTTTCCTTTCCATACAAAGACACGAACGGGCGATAGGTGGGTGTGAATGAGTCTTGTAGAAGTTCACAGTTAATTTTAAGCTCTGTGGACAGTATACGAGTGAGAGTTATTAATATATATTATATATAAGTTGTTATTTTCATAGAAAACTGTGAATATACAACTACAGAGATTGGAATAAAAAGCTGTCTAAAACAGATCAAAACAAATCCCGCACACAGAGACTCCCTCATGCTGGTGTCATTCCAGCATTGTTTTGTTTGTAAATTCATTGAGATGTTAAGTTAACCCAAATTTGTCTGAAACTGACTGCAGTGATTAATTATAACTAAAAATTGATCCACTAAGACACACTAATTATTGTGCCTTGACTGTCATTTAAAAAAATTATTTGTTGCTCATCATAACTTTAATTACCCATACAATTCCATGGTCTACCCATCAGCAGGATTTAAGAAAAGACTATGTTTATCTCGTCTTTTGTGTTTTTGTGTAGTTGAATGTGGATGTTCAGTGTAGCTCCAATGTTAGGAGGAGGATTTTCAGTGTTCTGTCTGAATTTTACTTTTTCTATGAGTCTAAGGATAATGAGAATGAAACAGTAGAAGCAATTAAGTTGTAGCTTTGGCAGGAACCTGTAACTCTACACAGCATCTTTTGACAAAGCATAGAAATTGTCTAGGGAGTCTAAGATTATTCAAACAAGGCTACATCTGAGCTAATACAAAGCAACCTTTACATATTATCCCTGCCTAGAACATTCTGCTCAGCACTCTTTGGAGATTCCAACCAATCATTCTCTTCACTCCTTTCAATTTGAAAAAATAAAACACTTTATTACTACCATTCCCCAACATTCTTATCATTGTTTTACATTGACTTGCTTGGAATGAAAAATCCTGAAGCAACTTTGACAGTTATTCCCCAAGTCAAATCGCAAGTGCAATTATTTGCATCACGGATATCTAGAAATCTGTCTTGCATAATACCAGTCTGCTTCTTTACAGTCTTTAGAATAGAAAAAGACACAGATTTAAATTCTATATAACAATAAATAGTAATTCCTGTCTTGTTTAACATAGTGTTTGATAGAAACTTGCTAACACTACTCTAGATTGGTAAGTCATTTCAGGCATATAGTTAGTAGTATGAGTTACGAATCTTACAGTGTTAACATACGGAAACTGCAGTTAAAGAAATAATAAGAATAATAAATAATAAAATAGAAAATAAGAGACTCATCTCATTCAAGTAGTAAAAGTTTTACAAAACTCAGAATCAAAGAATTCCAGATTTGGTGAAAGGAATTGCTGAAACGTAATCCTCCTGCAGGGCAAGGAAACTTGGCAGAGTGAAATACTAAAATACTAACATTGCAAAGACGTGTTTTGTATGGAAAAGATAGCCAAAGAATAGTCTTTTGTGTTTTTAATGGGTGAGAACATGTGTAACCCAAATGAAAGGAAAAATAAACCCTCTGAAAGTCGATTAGCATTTGATTAAGAAGGAAAAAGTTGCTCGCAGTTTAGTATATGCAACCTGAAAATGGTCCAGTTCTTGTAATTATGAGTGCATCAGAGAATAGAGTTCAACGCTGTTTGTTAGAGAATGATGAATTATTCACTGTTATACAATGAGCTTTCTCCACTTCCATATTTGCAAATTTTCTGCATTATCTTAGGAAATCTAACATTACATAACTGCCTTATTTCTCTCTTGGCAATCATGAATCACACTGTTTTCAGGCTGTCACATCATCCCTCAAATAGGGTTTTGCAGTCCTTTGAGGGCCATGTTTTACAGTAAATCCTCATTTCTTCAAAATAATTACATCACTGTCTGTGATATGAATTGTTCAGCTAATCCCATTACAGTACTTCAAAATATGAATATTTTTAAATTTTTATTATCTTTTCTTGAATTATATCTTCCATGCTTATAGAAGGGAGGGTTCATGTGCCTTTGAAGGGCATTTTTAAATGAAAGTTGACAATAACAATGCATCCTGTGTTGGTCTGACACACAGATGCTTTTGTTCTTTACACTAACCTAGCATCTGTAAGAGTTGCTTGAACACAAGAGAGCCAGTTTTTCTTCACAGCTGCTGAGGCCTGTGAACAACAAAAAGAGATGCACAGAGCATTCCTCTAAAAGACTTTAAACTGGGTTCCTTCACTGCAGTCATACAAATACTTTTAGCCTGAGAGCTGAGAGCTTCTTCCAGTGCTGGTAAAACTCAATCAGAGAAGTAATGCTTTCTCAGCCCAGCTTTTCTCTAGTGTTTCTTCCTCTTGGACTCTCTCTCTACAGAAAGATTTTGCCACAAGTTGCATTTCACAGTGTATACTGTGCGCTATCAAAGAGGTGATATTGCTGGAGCAGGATGAAAAAAAAGCATGCTTGCAAGAAGTCTACTTTTTTTTCTGATTCTTTCACCACAAAGATAAATACAATGTTTTCAATTACAACATATTGAACTAGGAATAAGGAGATCTGGGTTTTACAGTTCCAGATCTCTAATTTATAGTAAAACAATGGACAGGAATAGAACACTTACCTCCATAATGTTAATGTGTATGTGAAATAAGTTAATGTTTCTCTTTGAATTCTTGATACAGAAGGGTGGAAAAATGCTATGAAGGCTGCTCTGGAAGTATCATCTCCTGTTAATGGTGGTGACAATGTTAAAAAACAATGTTTTGTAGCTGAGAATTCACTCTACCAAAAAGTGCTCTCGTGATCTTTGTATCTGTTGTAGTTTCCATGGAAATAAATAGGAGGCATTACTTTCTGAGCAACCTACATACATTCAAGATAGATGATTCTTCCTTAAATTTGTTAAAGGCTTTTTTTTTCAAAGTGAAGTGTGTAATAACAAGGTTATTTATTGCTGGGTAGCCCAGCACTATGATCTTCTGACTTTTAATAAATCTTGTCCTCCCAAATCCTTTCAGACCTTCTGAAACACTTTAACTTTGGCCTCGTTGAGTGTTTTCATTTTATGTGCAGTACATATCTACACCTTCTTCATCTACAGACAGTAACAGGCTACATCCAACAACAGAACATGAGGTTTTAAACACCAAAAGGACAAGGGAGTGCAAAAGATCTTACTATGCGATGGTCTTAAAGGATGAGAGGTAACTGTGGAGCTACCTCTCTGGATGAAGGAGTTGCAAGTGAGATAATAGGACAGAAAATTGTTATTGAGTATGGGAAGACTGTACAAAAGCAGGAAAAAGGAAAGACAGCCAGAGTTGTAGAGGAAGCCACAAATAACCTCGTACATTTACTGTGTCATACAAAAACTGAGGGGAGGATCCTATGAAGCATCACCAGTCAGGGAATGTGAAAACACATCCTTCCTCTTTCCACCTCCTTTTCCTCTATCAGTGCCATTGCTATATAAAATACTGTTAGATTAAAATCACTTCTACTGAGGTCTCTAATATGAGTTAATCAGCAACAACTAACAGTTAACAATGCTTTCCCTACGAGTGCATGCTAAGAGGAATGAAACCGCGTCTGGCAGATAAATCTTATGCAACTGTTTAACTATCTCAACCATTTGTCTTACAATCCTGTATGTACAGCTATTATTTCAGTTATGGCAGCTCTGCAGTTGTTTATAGTCTCAGTGAAGAATAGTACCTGACAAGATGTTTGAGTGCTCTGCTTTTTAGCAGACCTGTTTCCAGCTTGACTGAAATGAAAAAAAAAAAATGAAAAAAAAGTGAAAAACAGCACATGGGCAAGCAACAAAAATGAACAGATATCCGGATAACCTAGGGTACTCATTTCTCCATACATACTTTTAAAAACTACTCAGAAACACTCTGAAGAAATTTTGCAACAAAAAGCTGGTTAAATCACGCATGGTACTCCAGTGACTTGTGCAAAAACACTAATCACAAGATCTCTGCCACTGCTGTTCTCTTCCCTGGGCACTGTTTGGCTCACTTGAGCTTAGTGAGATACCTTAGTGAATACCGAATAGTTTTCACTCATCCGCTCACTGGTATAAGTGATTTTTATGAAAAATACTAAGATTCAGAAAAGAGTCAGTGTGGCAAAACTGATTTTAAAAATGTTCAAACAATGAACCAAATACATTGAATACATTTACAATAATGAGCTGCATTACACTAGCTGAATTACAATAGGAATTATTAAAAAAAATGCTCTTCTGATTAATATCTGTTCTGATCCACCAGAGAACTATTTCTTTTACTGCAACTTTCATTCAGCTTGGGCATCATGCATGTATATGATATTGAATAGCAGATAGACGACAAGCATTCTAGCAATATTTTTTTCCTAAAGATGTACTTCAATCATTTGATTATATTTGTCTACACTGCATTTTGAGATTAGGAACTTAGCGCCCCTAAGGTATTAAAAAAAAAAGTGATAGTGGCAGTCAGTTCATACTTGATATAATTCTACAAGCAGTCCTCATTTTAATATATGGAATTGCTTCTATGTTTATAGACCCTCATCACCCTCATAATTTTGAATTCCCATAGCTCAAGGTGAATTTCTTTTGTAGACTGATGAAAGAAAGAATAACAATTTGTGAGTAACATTTTACAGAAAACAGACAAAATTAACAATTATCTTTATCCTATATCTTTTAGGTAGAATAATTACCTGTGTTAAGCAGGGTCTGGAATGTCCTTCTACCCAGTTCCCATTACTTTTTAAAAAAAATTTATTACAGTATCCTTTATAAAAACAGATTTCATCATTCCAGTGAACACTAAAAGAACTATATTTCCAGCAGAACTGAACAAAAAGTGAGAGTAAGATGAAAGAAAGCATTATTTACAAATCATTTGTTTTTCAAGTAGACAACAAAAATAATCCAAGGACAGTTTTGTTTTGACCACATTTGAAGTATTTAATGACAAAAAATAAAAATAAAAAATAGGATTTCCAGTAATTACACAAGAGAGCAGGTCCCACTTTTTGTTTTCCCAGAATGGCACAAAATTTCTACATCTCTGAGAACTTTTGAGGAATTGGTTACATAGATACCAGCAACTATTACAATTTTGGTAAATCATAGCAAAACCTACCAACAATTTAGGAGCACTTTTTTGTTAATATTTCACATAATGCACAACTACTCTTGACTCAAAAATAGCCTTTTAAGACAGAATTTGCAGCACAGTAGTTTCAAGTCTAACAATGCATTATTTTTTTCCTTGCAGAACTTTAAAAAGATAAACTATTGATGTTGTTACAATTTACAAATACATTCTTTCATGTGAAACACTAACCTGAATTATAGTATACGTTATGTACATCACTATCTAATAATACTATGTTGTATATGCTACAAACTGATTTCCAGGAGGAAATTGTAATGCTATAAGATTTATCTATTTATCTCTGTATGGACATTTATACATCTCTTTTTTTTTTTTTTTTTTCTTTTTCTTTTTCTACAAACTACCAAATTTAGTAGTTAAATGAACAGCAAGAAGAAGGTGAATACATAAATAACCCCCTTTTCCTTCATTTAGTAACACTAAGTTACTCAGAATTTTGATAGTAAATGGCTTTTTATGGCTGAATAAAAGTCCTGAGTTATGATACATAACACAATACTATTAACTGGAGAATATACAAAAAAATCCTGAAGAACTGCCATTGGGATTAAAGCAGTGTTTTAGAGCAGCTGAACTCACAAAAGATCTGGAACTTCGCATTGCAACTGTGACCTTCACCTTTTCAGCAGAAATTCATGTAAAAGTCTGAAAATCTATTATATTTCTATCTGAATTTAGAAAATTCTTATCAATTTAATGATGCTAAATCTGTATAAATGATTGTGTGGTACTACATAGACGACAAAAATACACCTTCTGTCAGTTTTCAGTGTTGGGTTAAATAATAAGCATCATTAAAACAGCTTAATTATTTAAAAAATAGATGCACATTTTGAATGTACCGATAAGAATGTAATGTCTTAAAGTTTTTCTAAAGACAAACATCTTTTTACAACATGAGTATTTCCAAGCCAGAACTTCAGTTACATCAGCTTGTGGTAATTGAAGTATCTTAATTGTGACAGAAGATTTTATCTTTTGTCTAGCACTGCTTGGAGGGCTTCAGATTGTTTAAAGTGTCATTAACAATGGAAATATCTTATTCTGCATTGAAAGTGAAAACCAAAGTGCATTCATTTAATGCCAGTTCTCTGGCTCTCCAGTAAGATGAGGACAAACGTTTCTGAAGTGCATTGCTTTTAAAGTGCATGCATCTCCAGAAGATGAAGACTGAAGCTTCTGCTAAAAAATAATATGAGATGTTACTTTACACCAGATTGCTAGACACTAGTTTATTTCTGAGGCACAGCTATACATATAGATTTATCATTCTCTTTTTCCTCAGTTTTGAAACATCACACATACATTCACTGTATGTTTCTTTCATTTTTCTCTTCGAACAATCCATCTGGAAGTTAAAATAGAAATATTCAAAATGCAGCACTGGAAACAGATTCCCCTGTGAAATTCAGATATGCCCTTCAGAATGCTGGTGTTGGCACATGCAAAACTTTCTACACTGGGTAGGCTTAACAAGTTTTCTGTTTCCCAAGGCAGTATTCTCGACCACAGTTAAATCCTCATGTGTTTAATTCCAACATTCATATTCTGCTGATGCTACATAAATTCAAGAAACATGTATCCCTTCTTTGGATTTTATTTCTGCATGCATGTCTGCACTTAATTAAAATACTCTTCTATGCAATACCAGGGAGGAGTACTGGCAAAGAATATTACTATTTTAATTTGGATCAACTTTGTCATTTGGTCCATCTCCCTTGTTCACTTTAGTTCCTGTAATAAACAGAAATAGAGGTACAAAGTACTGCAAGATTGTGTTGCAGTATTACAAAAGAGGAACAAAATATAAGTCAAAAAGGTAGAAAAGCAACATCTTTTCCTGCACGGAAGCTGAAAGAATGCATCTCCACTGAACTGGAATGAAAAAAAACACACACAAGTCTTCATCTCCTGTAAAAACTGCTCAACCTAGGCTTTTCAGTTTCTTTCGAGAATATTTCAACTTTGGGCAGTATCTCAGCATTTGTGCTTCATTGCAAGCTGAAAAGAAAAAAAAGAAAAATGAAATAAAGGATCTATTTGATTTTAGAGCTGTGTTTCCCAGTGTTCTATTCTTTTGCTATACATTATGATGGCTGTATGTATTAGCAAGAGCCCTGAAATAGAGGCACACACACATGTAATAAAAGTAATACTAAATTATTTAAGTCCAATGTGTAATTCTATACAGGTAATTTTAAGAGTTGTCCAGCAGCTCTGCCATTACATGATGAAAAAAGATTGTCTTTCTGCCTCTGCAATTACTGAATATTTCAATTCCAAGTAATAAAAAATGGACTGAAAGCTGGTAAAAGAGGGATAAAGCAAAGCTAACGCGAGATGAAAGCCATATAAAAACTGCAGAAAAACTAATTTTGCCAAAGCAAGTAAAGAACTTTGTTTTAAATTTCATATAATATAAAAATGATATCTGTACATAACAGCATGGTACAGAAAGATGAGATGATTGAACCCTCTACGAAGTTATTTCGAAAGCAAAATCAGTACACGCAGTTAAAATTTCCTAATTTCCTGACAGTGATCAATAAATGACTCAAACTGAAGTGATAGAAACCTCTTATACTCAAGCACTATTTTTGAAAACTCTGATTTGTAGAGACATACTGGATAAAAATTTCAACATATAAAAAGTACAACCAACGTGTTCTTCTCAACACTCCAGAAATCAGAGATATTTCAGGAAAATTATACTTCAGTAAGCAAATCTGACAGCAAATATTTTTATACAGAATCTCACCTTCTATGCATTCACCAGCATGGGCAATTTTTCAGAGAGAAAGAAGGTTAAAAAACACTATCATGAGGACAACTTGAGGAGAAACCCTGAACTAAGTTCAAGACTTTACGTAAGTAAGCCCACTCTGTATGGTACACTGTTTCTAGTGCAAGCTATTTTTTTTTTCTGCCATCAGACGACTAAGATATATTTTAAACAAGCTAGAAAGATCATTCCCATGCCTTGAATCTTCTACCATGTGCATGAGGTTGCATATATATTAAAACAGCCTGAGACATAGCCAAAATAACATCCAGACATGCACAAATTAAGCGGTAAGAGAAATTCTTATTCAGTCATAATACTATAGTGATGAAATTAATTATGGGCTGACAATTTTAATTCTTATTCTTTACTGAAGGCAACCTTTAGCTATTATTAGGCTATCAAAAAAAAAAACAACCTCTGATTTGCTTAAAGTGTTCACCATTTCTGCTAAAAATCAAGTCTTAAGTCTTCCTAATAAAATACACTGCTGGGTAGCTGTCTTATGCATTTTTGTGAGATAACAGATGCAGAATTGCAGAACTACTGCATATTGCAATATGCAATTTAAGGTTTAGGGAAACAATACAGAAAACATGCAATACAGAAAATATGCAACAACATATTACATTTAAGAAGACTTATCCTTGCATTCAAAAAAGATGACAACTAATTTTTTGATGGAGTTGTTCTGTGTTCATGAGTGTATAAGAGAGAGATTTGTATAGATCTGAAAGGGAACAATCCAAGATTTCTAGCACTAATGTACTAGAAATGTAATACTAATTACTAGAAATGTAATAAAGAATTATACAATTACTGAAGCTAGAAAAGATCACTAAGATAATCTAGTCCGTCAACCCATCACCACTATTGTCCACTGTTCCTCACTGCCACATCCACTTTCCTTCAAAACCTCCAGGGATGGTTGCTTACTCCACCACTTTGCTGAGCAGCCTATTCCAGTGGACTACCACTCTTTGTGAGCACAAATACTTCCTAATATCCAACTTGTACATCCCTTGGTGCAACTCATCCTAAAGGATTGTTTGGCACATATACAATAAAGCCAAAAGCCTTTTATCCACCAAGATATAAGCCAGTTTCTTTCTTTTACCATGAAAAGCAGACTCATGCAACAAGTACATAGGTTTTAGAAGCCCAAGGATGATGTGCTAAAAGCCAAAAATTGTATATTCTTAGTACTAACTAGAATTATACAAGTGCTTTAAAGTGGAGTTAGTGAAATTAATCTGACCAAAAATTCCATGTCTTAATTTAGCATTAGCTACCTGTACGTCAAACAGGTTACTTTTTTCTAAGTTACAAGTACCTTTTTTTTTTTAATTAGTGGGATGGAAATAATTGGATAATACAGCTGTAACTCTTTATCTTAAGGTTTGATCTCTTTTCCAAGGAGTTTGGCTACAGATCTATGCACAGAAGTAGTTACAAAGCAGAAATCACTCAAATAAGGAACAATTACAGAGAATCACAGAATCCTTAGAGTTGGAAGGAACCTCATGTGGTTCACCTGGGCCCACTGCTCAAGCATCTAGATCCCCCTGGATGGCATCCTGTCCTTGTGTGTTGACTGCACCCCACAGCCTGGTATCATCAGAGAACATGGTGAGGGTGCACTCAACCCTACATGCAATGTCACTGATGAAGATATTACAGAGTATTCCTCCCAGCACTGACCCTTGAGGGACAGAATTTATCTCCAGTGAGTGAGTCAGTGAGAAAGCAAAGAGATCATAAACAATGACTGTCTGCAATTCTTTCAAGACATTCCTCCCTTCTCAATAAAGGAATGTATGACTTTAACTACTGAGAACCTTATTCTACCAAAATCTTACCTTGTGTGCAGTTTCTGCAAACTGCTGAGCACTGTTTTTCAGTTCCTCCGTCTTTTCTTCTGCTCGACCTAGCCTTTCACCACGCTCATTCAAAGCCTGACTTGCCTTCTGTACTGCACTTGTCACACTGTCTGCAGCTGAATGGAGTATGCTGTTTCCTGCAATATCAAAATAAACAGAACACACACACATATATATACACATATGTTTTGCATTAAATTCAAATACTTTCATTTATAATGTCGTAGAGTGAATGCATCACTTGCCACTTTAGTCTTGCCACTAGACTATCATCTAGTCACATTTTGGATAGTGGGATTAGTTACGGTATTCGATGAAACCATATTACTTGTAAGCTATAAAAAAATACCATAATACCATACTACAGTGTACTTGGAGAGTAAAAGGAAGCAGTGGACACAGGTTAACTATGAGTTGTTGGTTTTTTTAGCCTCATACTAAATATTATTTAGTATATACTACATATATTTTACATAATATACTACATATTATTTCAGAAACTTACTCTAATAAATCCGTTACAGACTACAAAGGAACAGCTTCTTTCAAACAGTCTCATCTTAACATAGAGTAACTTTTTTTGAAACAGTCACACTGTTCCACAGAATAATAAAATGGTTGGGGTTGGAAGGGACCTTTAAGATCATCTAGTTCTGCTATTGTCAGGGATATCTCCCTCTAGACCAGCTTGCTCAAAGCCCTGTCCAGCCTGGTCTTGAACGGGAGGGAGCATCCACAACCTCATTGGGCAACATGTTTCAGTGTTTCATCACCTTCATAGTAAATAATTTCTTCCTAATATATAGTCTGAATCTACCCATTTCTAGTTTAAAACCTTTTCTCCTTGTCCTGTTGCGACCTGCCCTTGCAGAAAGTTTTTCCACAGCTTTTCTGTAGGCCCCCTTCAGGAATTAGAAGGCTACTATAAGGTCTCCTCAGATCCTTCTCTTCTCCAGGTTGAAAAGGCACAGCTCTCTCACAGCCTGTCCTTCCAAGGAGGTGCTCCAGCCCTCTGACACCTTCAAAGCCCTCCTTTGGACCCGTTCTAACAGCTCCATATCCTTCTTGTATTGGAGGCTCCAGAATTGGACACAACACTCCAGGTGGGCTCTCACGAGAGCAAAGGGGCAGAATCACCTTCCTTGCCATGCTGGTCACACTTTTTATGATGCAAGCCAGGATACTGTTCTCCTTCTGGGCTGCAAGCACACGTTGCTGGCTCATATTGAATAACTGATAAATTAACACTCCCAATCCTACTCTTCAGGGCTGTTCTCAAGCCATTCTCCATCCAACACATATCTATGCTTGAGATATATTTACCACTGAATGATGCTTCTTATAAATTCAACCACTTTCTTCAATATTAAATAATCATCCTAATCAACCTCCATGTACAAGTCCACCCTAACACTATTGCTACAGTCATTTAATGTCACACTAATATACTTTCATACTTTGTCCACATGAAATACTAGTCATGGTTTCATGAGACAACATACTGAATTTAACTCATTATATTTAAAGTTACAGCAAGCCCTTAAGATTTAATTAATTATTAAATAATTAATTATTATTAATTAAAGCCTTTAGCTGTTAATTAATTTACCTTTTTCTTCTCTAGAATACTGTGTAGCTGTTTCTTCAAGTTTTTGATAGAAAAACTCCTGTGAATTTCTCCTCTTTGTTTACCACTTCTAAACATTCACTCCAGTTGCTATGTTTTATATACTGCTTCTAAACAGAAGAGCTTATTCTTTTTTGTGGAGAAATTGCTGAAGAATGTTTATGATATGTACTACATTACAAACTGAAAACTGCTCACACAGTGTTGTACATTTTAAGTATGAACTAGTATGTATTAAAATACACATGACAAAAATGTGCATTCTATCCTTTTACCTTTTCAGCAAAAGGACTAGTAAAATATCAGCCTTCCCCAAATTGTTGGTATGAAAATTCTGTAATGTCTTCCAATAGAACTGCAAAAGCTTTAAAATTTAATCTACATTACAATAATTACTTATCTAGACATCTATAAAGTCACTGTGAGAGAAGAAAATCAATACAGGTAGAGTAGGTAGAGTATTAACGACTGGGCACATCATAACTGCTTGTTTTCTGAACTGCCTCTGAATATTGTATTCACACAGTTTCTTCACAGCATTAAACATAAATGTATAACATTTAAATTCTTTATGCTGGTAAAGGTATAAAATTAGTTCAACAGCAATTTGAACATTCAAATCGAAAATTGAGCAGCATAGTAAATTTTTGTTATAACAGAGTTTGCTGTTCTTAGACATACAAAGACAACTTTAAATCAGCAAAAACCAACTGCCTTTACTATTAATCTGAGGGATATGACTACTTAAGAATAATCACAGATTAACAAATAAAACCCAAACACTACATTGAATGATTATTTTGCTACTAGTTTCACTAGGAAAATCAAGAACAAAAGATTCATTGAGTCTAACCATGCAGATAATACCTTTTTCCTTAGAAACAGCAAACAAACACTCAGTAGTGAAACCAGAGTTTGTTTCAGATAGACTATGAAACAACAGTGCAAACTACACACATATAAACTCTTGAGAAAAATAACCACCTTGCAATTTTAATTAACTAAACCAGAACTATTATCACAAAATGAAGATATGGAAGGGACCCAACAATCTACCATATGCTGACTTGTGGAAGATGAATCATAATAGAAATACCAACCTGAGACCTCCTGATAACACGTCTATCAATATTGCTAATGCTACACACATTAGTAATTAAAAATTAAATGTGTATAAGATATTGAACATTGGCAGAATTCTTCGTTTTTGCACGAACAAAGGAACAGCATTTATAAAAGAAAATTGATACTATAACTAAAGACATGAATATCTAAGAATATTGTGAGCTGCCATTTGTTAAGACGTAAGTGGAACTTCATCTTTTCCAGCAGTCTCTGTTTAGCCTCTGAGAAGTCTGGTTATAAAATCAAACAAATCACTTTGTATGTTTTCTTACTTGAGTGTTTCTCAGTCAGTTGCTACTTTGTTCATAGCTTGCTTGTTTAAAGCTAGTTCCACTAATTTTTCTTGGAAGCTTATTTTGGCTTTTGTTCAGGTCATATTTCCTGTAAACAGGCATACTAGGCAATACTGCATTGGAAATAGTTTCCTTTTTTTTTTTTTTTTTTTTGGTGGAGTGATTTAAGGCCTCTTGTACCTCTTGTACAAATCAGTGCTGGTTTTCTGGGATAAGACTTTTTAAAAGCTCTCAACTTTGCCTGTTGCTTTGTGCAGACAGAAAACTTCCGCTGAATTCAAGTGAAGCAAAGTATATGGATATGGAGAATTTCATAAAACTCATAATCATCTAAAGCCTTAAAACTTGTTGGAGAATAGAAGTTAACAGATTGCTGACCTGAAATGTAGGCAAACATAGGAACAAACAATCCTATACTGTATATGAGCAACACAGAAACTCATATCTCAGTATTCTACTGAATTCCATCAGATTATTTCTAGAGCATGTGTAGGTGGTTCCTGATATGATTGACTATGCTTTGTTCTTACATTAGTATCTCTAAATAGTAACATTTGTACTACATTGACCAGACAAGCATTCCTATGAACTGAATTCCTATCACATAAAATTCTTCCTATAAGCTGCAAAACTTTCAAGCTGCTGTACAGGAATTAATTACCAACATTCCAAATTTTTGGACAAGTTAGTTCTGTGACTGAACACCAAAACTGCCTGAACTGCACCTACTAAGAAGAAAATAATTAAATTCATTTCAACCGACTGATGTGCACAGAACCACTTGAAAAAAAAATACACAAAATAAACAAGTAGACATGCAAAAACTGTCATTAACTTTTTTGCCCTTCCTCTTTATAAAGATTTCATGACTTCTGATGATCTTCAGGTCAGATGCAGAATCTGCTCAAAATAAAGCTTTCAAAAACTTCTCACAAAAATCTTCTTGGGAAAGATTTTCTAACACTTGCAAGAGGAGAAAAACATACCAAAAAACTGGTATGGATGAACTGATGTTCTCAAATAAACATGAACACAGAGCAGAAAAATTTCCATATTTTACAATTTTGTGAAACTGCGCTTTTATTAAGTGCAAACACACAGCTTTTTATTTTTATTTTTTTTAACCTAGTAGTATTTGCTGACTTACAAAGTGGAGCAAATAAATACTGCCAGATAACATAGGAAAAATATGCATTCAGATTGAGTATGATTTAAAGTAGCAGATTAATGTTAATTTCTAATATTAGCAAAATGTGTACATTTATGTCAATTTCCATATGAAACTATCAAGAAGGATATTGGGTTTAATTCAGTATTTTTCAACAGAAAATTTGCTATTATATACACAGAAACATACTACAAATTTATTTTCAGTTGCTCAAATGATTGGCTTAAATTGGTAGTTATTAATACAGCTTTTTCTATGATATTTTGTCTTATCTGAAATTGTCTTCTCATCTGAAAAGGAATTGGACATTCAGATTTTCAAATCAATTAATAGCTACGCAGTTCAGTAATCCTTTCTTTAAATTTTACTTCGTTTTATTTTATTAAGCAAATCAGACATTTTGTTTTGATTTTTTGCTGCAGAACTTAAACTTCTGGAATTAAACCCCTCTTTTTCGTTAGAAAATTCGGTTAGTGACTTGTGTAATTATATATAATGTGTCAGATCCGAAGGTGCAGAAGCAGTGGAAGGGCAGCAGCCTTTGTATGAGTGCATTAGACCAGTTGTCCTGGAGGATTTACTTCCTGATGAAGAGACAATGAAGAAACAACATTTTCCAGGAAGCCCTAAAGCTCCTGCCAACTTCATTTTTAGGTATTGATTGTTATGATCACAAACTATTTCAGTGAACGCATTAAAAAGTTCATTCTTAATCAGTACTGTGTTCTCAATACAGAGTACCTGAAAGATATACAGAGTCTATCATCAATCACCATGGAAATCGATCAATTTAAAGAACTAATTTTTGTCCTGAGATACCATTAGTGTTTCCATGACCTGTTTTAACATACATTCATAAAAATTTCATCATATTCTCTATTAACCATGCAAAAAATATTTCATTTCAACCCAGATTTTTATATG